CCAGGGAAAACATTTCCTTTTTGTCTCATTACTAACTCATACTTTCTCTGGTGAAATGACATGATTACCTATAAAAGTGAGATAGGACTTCTGAAATGGGTTTGACCGATATCCTTGTTTCATATTTTAGCAAATTAAACAGTGATGTCATCAAAGAAAACAAGGTGGACATATTGTTTTTTCCAAAATAGAATTACTTGTAGAATCTTGATTTACTGCAGAATTATATCCATCATGATTTAATAGCATTAAAGCAATTAGTAACCAAAGCTCAGGAATAATGGAAATTCATTAACAAATGCAGAAGATATATATCCTACCAAAAGAAGATCGATGCATGACACCCGTGCAGTCTGATTCGCAGCAGTACCACAGGATAAGAATTCTAGCAGAATACATTGTACAAGTTTGCCACTGAATAGATTATGAGAGCACTTCAAAGAGAGTATCCTCAAAAAATCATAATGGGAATGCTGCTTCCCTATCTTCTCTAGCAAGCCCTCCTGGAAGAAACAAAAGTAGCATTAGCTATTCTTCATGTGTCGACATTAAGTACACACATAATCACAGAATAGAAACAAGTACAACGACCAGAAAACTCTATTTAACAACACAAATACTTCGTACCAAAAATGCCAGGCATCAAATACGGGAGCACCACAATGAGACTTAAGTCTGCCTCTGCTGAACATAACTACGAATAAGCAAACCGAGGGTAAGACTCCATTGTTTGAATTCCATCCAAAAACCCAGGGATACGTAAAAAACTTGAACCTTCAATCCATAGTTGTTGGAGGCGGAAGATAAGGTGGAAGCTCCCTAGGGTTAGGATCGACGTACGTAGATTCCATAAGTTCAACAAGCTACTAAGCTAGTTCTTAGGACATCTGGGATTGAGACCTCACGTTACTGGTGGATCAAGGTTTTGGCTTGGAGGGATCTAAGCTCCAATATATATAAAACGAGCTCAACTGATAGCATATGATAAAATTTGGATCGAGCCAATGCCCACTCGATCCATTATCGTACACCTTAGCTTACTATTGTTGGAAGTATGGCCTTTCAAGGCCTTAAAAACCCGACATATTAAGGCTCATGATCACAGTGGGAGTGTACGAGAGCGGTGTGACTCTAGGATCTTGGTGCACTGGGACCAAGAGTCATATAACTCCGAGAGTCATGAGGCCGGTGTGTATATATATGGTTTTGATTTATGCATCATGACTATGTGATGGTCAGGGCATTGCATATGTGATTATTTGTGATTGATTGATGATGATATGAGCTCGAGTTTATTGTGTGTGATTTAGCTATGTATAAGAGAGTTAAGGCTTTGAGAAGACATAAGCCTACATCCTTGACATATTGAACTATTAAACCTTCGCATAGCATTTGCATGCACAGTCGCAAATGAGGAGCCACTATGCATGTACAGTCGCAAATGGGAAGCCACTCTACCCTCTTAATCCACCTGAGAGAGAAATTCACACTTACCGAGCATCCATAAGAGTGTATGCCATTGGGGGTGCACTTGCAATCCACTACTACCTAAAAGTCCTGAGCCACACATTAGTTTGACTTTAAAAAACCAAGCATGAGCCCCTAATTAATATTGTGGGTCATGGGTTAGTTGGGTCATATTCAGAAGATGACCTTGAAGTCTAGGTCTAGCCGAGTGGAGTGCTCCGATACCAAATTCAGTTCCATAAGATCCTAATTTCCCTTATAAATATTTTTTAAATGGGGTCAAAATGTGTTATTTTGATGGAAAATGGATTGGTGAATTTTTTGAGATTTTTCTGAGCCAAAAATGATAAATTTTGGAAATATGTTTTAGAAATGACAAAGGACAGTGTCCCCAATGGTCCACACATGACACCCAAATGGCCAATGGGTGGCACGTTTAGATGATTTGGGCTCCACGTCATTGCCATGTATCCATGACATGTCGTTGACATCACACCCCCCCCCCCCCCCATGGGATCTATTTCTCATTTGGTTATTTGTTATAAAATGTGATTTTAAGTTGTGATTTTTTATGGAATTCTGAAAGTTTCATAATTATATTTCAGCACGTCTTGCGTGTGGATTTGTGGTTGTGTGCACATTTGGGGAGCCTTCTAGAAAGGACATAGGGTTTGATATTATGATTGAAATTGTGCACATAACCACCTGTCCCATGTTGAACATGCTCACCAAAAATGGAAGGAAGTAAAATGTACCAAATTGCTGTAAGGGCAATCCCCTACTTACGGTTTTTAAGTTGATGAAGTGAATTGAGTATGAGCATTTTATATAGAAAAAAGTTTATATAAGGGCGAGGCCTAAACAATTAAGGCGCACCTCAAAAATCTAATAGAAAAGATTATTTTGATGCCCAAAAATCTTCAAATCGATCATCTCAACATCAAGATGTATGGACATGGGAAAAAATGGATTCCAAGTCTTGGAAACCGTCGATCTTATACTATATTTTTGAACTGTCAATTTTCAAAAATTTTCAGGTGTTCATAGATCTGCTCGATGTTCACTACTTTTGAAGCTTTGAACCTTATAATTAGATATGAACATAAAGTTTCAAGCCATCGCAAAGAGTTCCAGTACTGAAAAACATATTTCGACACTATTTAAAGGTGCGCCGTACTTTGATTGTTTGGGGCCTCAGCCCTATACAAACATACCTTTTTATATAAGGAAAATTTAGAGTGAATTATGATTAAAATGAAGGATAAGGGCGCTAAATCTCATCCACACATCAAGACAACAAGATGGTGGATGAGTTGCTAGGATCAAGCCTCTCTTTATAACATGGATGATCTCTCTCTCTCTCTCTCTCTCTCTCTCTCTCTCTACTACTACTACTACTACGTACGTACGTACGTACGTACGTACGTACGGTACGTACGTACGTACGTACGTTACGTACGTTACGTACGTTACGTA